CTGGAGAACAAACAGCCTTTCAGCTGCTCCATCAGCCCTTTATTTGTCATATTTGTTGTCTTCTGCCTTGCAATTTACAGATTATCCAGACTGTTGTAGCTGCTTAGAACTAAGAAGTGGGCCACATTATGGTGGCTTGCAGAGTAAAAGCCCAAAAGTGCAAGGGAAATGACAGGATGTCTCTGAACTAGACTCAGTGGACAAAGGGAAGCAAGTTTGTGAAGTTTCTGATCATAAGGTGGTTTACAACCAACAATAATCCTCACCATGTTTGCATTAAAACTATGCAAAGGAAGTAGAACCCAAACCAAAAAAAATCCATCAGGAATCGATCAATGCCTCCCAGTTTTATGGATGCAACTTTTTGGATTTGCTTAACAACACAACTTCAGAGGATCAACAGTGATCTTAAGGTCAATGGGTATTGCCTTCAACTTTTTCTTTGTGTTTTTATGGCAACTTTTCTATGTGGTTTACCAAACCGGTGATATTGTAATGGACCTACTGAATAAAACTAGACAAAACTGTTGAATACATTGCATTTGTTTTCAGAAATATGTATTATCCATGTCCTTGTGCCAAAGTCTTCCTTTTCTAGGGAGGTTTACAGGTAAACAAGCATATGATTCCCTGGAAACACATCTCTCTTCTCACTCCTTCACCAAGAGTGGGGAAGGCTCTGCACAGGGTTGTCACTGACAACTGCTCCTCTGGTGTAGCTGCATGGAGTCTCAGTACAGCTAGTTTCTAAGTTTGTGCCAGTGCCACTGAGTGTTTATTGCTGTATGAAGCTGGGCCCAGAGCAAATACAACTTACAGTACAGCAATGTCTACAATTCATCAGAGCAGAATGCGAAGCATAACCCCTTTAGAACTACTCTTAAATAACTACACTGCACCATGCTCAGCCTTGAACGTCAAGTGCGTGTTGGAGAACACAGCCCTGGGCAGCACAGAGCTCGGCCCACCAGAAGAGACTAAATGTAGTGTCTCCTTGCTACTGGCTCAGCCTCCCCAAGAGATCAGAGAACACCTCCTGTTCATGCACAGTTGTGGGTACACCATTCCAGTCCTGGCTTTGAACATCAGCATATAGTGAGGTTTCATTTTTTTCTAGGAGGGTTTTGCTACACATTCCTACTGAAAGCACTATGTATGTAGGGAAGGATGAGGTGGCTTTTGCAGGCCAGAGCCACTGGCAGGACTGGAGTCCCATATGGAGCAACAGCACTGAACAGCAGTGGAGCCATAGAGAGCCACAGGGCATTACCCACTGGTCATGCAGCATCTCTCTGCTGCGATTTGGGTGCAACAAGGCAGGCCCCTTTGGCCTTGCAAGGCCCCTTTTCCTTCAGCAGGGTGCCGGGGGGCCTGCGCAGTGGGTTGTGCCTCCTCAGTTCTTGAGGACCTGCAGGGTCTCAGGGGATCCCACAGCCTTTCTGGGCACGCCACTCCACTGCGTAAGGATCCTCTCACCTTAAGGATTTCCTGTTTCCCACCACACCCCACCTCTTGTATCCAGCCTGAAAGTCTCTAGTATCATCTGATGCCACTGTCTCACACCCTCCCACCAGGCACTGCTGGGAAGACTCTGTCCACATGCCCTTGGTCTCTTCCCCACAAGCACCAGGGTGTGCCATTATTGACGTCTCTCCTTTCTGAGACCCCAGAGAGGACATAGGGCCTGGATGAGGCCTGATGGGCGCTGAGCAAAGGGGATCAGCCCTGCCCGCCCTGGCTAGTGGAGAAAGGTAGGAGCAATCCCAACGAGCGAGCCCAAGGCTGCCTTTGACCTCCCATGGGAGGTGATAGCAATGAATAGGATTGGAGTGGGGCCCAAGCACTGCGTCCACCCTGGCCCAAGGGTGGCAGGAACTGAACACAGGAACCCATCTGGAGAAGTGACCGTGTCCTGCGGGGTCTGCACGGAGGGCGGGGGTGGGGTGAGGGGTGCAAGCACCTCCATCAAACGGACACGCAGAGCGTGGGGCTGGAGGCATTGGTCTGATGGCTCTACAGCTAGGAGAAAATCCCCAGCAGGAAGGCAAGGTGCTGCCTTTGATCTGCCATGGGAGAAAGCAGAGGAGCCCCGAGGGCTGGCCAGCAGTGCTGGAGTGTGGGGAGGGCCTGTGGGACTTTGTCCTGCAGCCTCCAAGAGAGGCACGAGGTGTTACGGAATGAACCCTCTTGCTGCATGTGCCTGGAGACGTCTGCCATGGCCAGAGTGATGTGACAGGGCCCTGGGAGGACACCCGCCAAGGCCTCGGGGACTGGTGTGGAACACCCATGGTGAGCACAAGAAAAGCGTTGGGGGGATGGAGGGGGCAGTAGCGTTGCGGTAAGCCCAGACGCATGTGCTGGGGCTGGCCTGCTGCCAGGGCGAGCACCGCAGGTCAAGACGGCCTGTTGTGGTGTGCCTGCACGACGGACGGTGATGTCACCGAGCAATGGGTTCTGGTGTCACCGAGGGATGGAGTGCGACACCTCCGAGTGATGGACGGTGACATCACAGAGTGCTGGGTTCCGATGTGACCGCGACATTGCCAAGTGATGGACTGTGATGTCGCCGAGCGACGGATTTTGACCATGCGTCCCTCGCTGCCTCTATCTGGGCACAGAGTCTGACCCAGGCGGCTCATGCCTGCACTCCAGCCGAGCGAGCTGGTGAGGTTTGGAGTGTCATGCAAGGCTGTTGTTGGTGCTGGTGTTGTGCTTGGTGAGTTGTGCACTGCAACTGTTGGCACCCGACCCCAGAGCCATCAGAGGATTTTGCCTGGCCCTGCCAGTTTCAGGCAGCCAGGGCACCCAGGAGGCAAGCAGCAGCAGAGGTGAGCTGGGGGGGAAACCTGACGCTGGGGTGGGGAGCTGGGAGGATTTCCTTCTGGAGGGACCAGGGCATTTCTTCCAGCCCTCCTTGGAGCAGTGAATGACCGTGGTCTCTCTTCCTTTCCTAGCATGACGACCGCTGACG